CAGTTGTGCCAGCAGGACACCATGTCACTGCTCGCCTCTCAGGACTTACAAGCCCCATGGGCCTCCTGCTCACTGGGCACATGGTCTGGACCATGAGAAGGTGGTCGGCACAAGGGGACTGGGGGGTGTGGGGAGAGGCGGTGACACTGGGCTCTGGGTGGTGACACCAGACTGGGGCCAGCTCTTAGCAGTCCCATCAGGAACCACGGGGTCAGTTTTGCTTATGTGTGTGAACTTCCCTCTCCTGGTACCAGATACCATGTTGGACATATATAGGGTCTCTGGTTTAAAAACCATTTTTGAACAATGGTATCCAACAAAAACACAAACCGCCTTTTGAATTAGATGCCAGGGTAAACTTTATTTTCCTACAAACTATGAGGCCGACAGGAACATACAGCACCTTATGTGCTGCATCTCCACTTACTAAATCATCACAGTCAGAACTGAAGGGGGAAGACAGTGAAGTGGAGAACCAGGTGGCATCAGCAGTGAGCCATGTACTGTCCCAGAGCACAGCTCTCTTTGTGGAGTGTATCCTGTATCACACGCGCACATACGTACACGCACACTTGTGTCTGCAGGTGTGTTAGCTGAGAAGGTCTCTACCACCTCAGAACTTACTAGAGGTGTGGGACGGTAGGGAAATCCAATAAAACAAAAATTAAATGACACACTGTAACTTAATTTACCATATTTATCAAATTGTCCCCTATTTACATGTACTAAACACTGCAGATCTGAGAACACAGGGAACATTCCTCAATGTGCATGTCATACATAGGCATGGAGCATAGCCACAGCGATGGTTGCTTCGTGCTGAATGTCCCCTTCGGTAGATATAAACCACTCAGCTCCACACAGGATGTCACAGGAAGTTTCAAAGGATTTAGGAACCTCCTCTTGCAACAAGCAGATCAGGTCACTGGTGGGTGGTGGCGGTGCTGGGGTTGACAGGGACTTGCATGGGTCTCCGGATCTGTGTGCCCTCTTGTGTGTAAGGTTAAGGGCCCAGGGAACAACTCACCTCACAAGGTAGTGGGGCCCACCTGCAGTTCCTTGGAGCTGTGCACTGAAGACGTGTGCAATGGCTGCTCGCCTGGGTCACATTTCTTCATGCTCAAGGCTTGGTTACTTTTAAAAAGTCATCATTTGTGGAATTACTAATTTTTTTATACAAAAACTGATCAGTGAGATTTTACACACACAGCTTTGCTCTGATGGAAGCCTGAAAACCAGCGTGTGGGGTTGGGGAAAGAGCCCCCCTGTCTGAGGCCACGTGTGCCTCTCTATCTGAGGCCAGTGAGGGCCACTGTGTGTGCAGATGCCGAATGCTCCCCAGGAGGTGGTGTGTCAGCATTGTGGCTGGGAGGGGCCAAGTGACCCTGGCAATTTTGCTAAAAGGCATTTATTACAAAAACACAATATTTGCTTTTCTAACTGGAAAAAAGATCTTCATTACTTCAATTTTCCACCCCAAATAACAAAAACGACCAAGTCACATGTTTCAAACAACATGGCTGCCAGACTCCCGGCTTCACATTCTGCCTCCAAACCAAAACTGCTCCTTCGATGCCAGACTGGACTCCAGGACTAGGGCTGCGGCTGTCATCAGGATTACACAGAGGCTGAGTTCTTTGCTATTTGGAATTGCATTTTCTACTCCCAGGTCAAGAGTCCAATTCCAGAGCATCTGTGTTGGCACCTGGAGCAGAGCAGACCTGGTCACCTGCCAACATCCTCAGAACATAGCCCAGAGTGATGATGGTCAGTGGTCACCTGGAATGCCATCTTGAGTGGGACATTGCCATCTTCAGGCCTGGATAGCCCTGCCTACAAGGTCTGCCTTCTGACAGGGACGCCACTCAGTCTTTTCTCACATCTCAGATCACCCACGCCTGGCTCCCAAGCTGCCCTTGTCCTGCATGAGTCACTGTATGCCAAAGAAACACTACAGCTGCTGGGAACCTGGCCCGGCAGGCAACGTGCAGGTGTGTGCAGGGCAGCGGTGGGACAGGGACGGGGCCCAAGGCCTGTATCCCGGGATGCTTGCTTTGGTGTTTGAGGAGCTGAGCTGCACTGTGGCCAGCAACTGTCCTTGTCCTGCAGGAGCTGGTCACCTGCCAACATCCTTACGAGGACCTGGATTTCTAGTGAGCTCAGGGTGCTCTGGGACAGGAACATGAATGTGACATAATCCTGCTGTGCTAGAGGCTACAAGCACCAGGTGGAAGTGGTAAATCTCCCTGGGAAGGACCCCACGGAGAGCCATTGTCACCAGGATGAAATTTCTGAGTAAATTATGATCCTAACATGTGAAGGGGAAATCCTCACATGGAAAATTTTGCCCACAGTAACTGAACTTCATCAGCCCCTCTGGGATGGGTGGTCGCATTTCTGAATGGGGCATCAACTGCCCTCCTTGGGATCATTCTCATGCCCATGGCAGCCACTTGTCTCAGGTTGTTGTTGCCTTTTTTTCTTCTTTGGAATTCAGAAGTTTGTGAAGACACAGCCCCGTCTGGAAGTTCCATGTGACCTTTCTGAGGTCTGCATGCAGCCACATCTGCTGGGAGCTCCAGGTCTGGGAGTTCAGGGTATCTGCCTGTTTTCTCGATAGCAGGGCTCTCCCAGGGTGGCACTTGGAGTGGGGGCCACAGTACCTGCAGAGGACCGATATTGGCTTGTGGCAGTTGCCAGAGGTCCTGTGCTAGACAGAAAGGGAAGCTGTTTGATGACCTCTCCTGCAGCCCATGCAGTGCCTGCACAGCACTCTGTGGACCGAATCAGCCTGCAAATGCCTGTCCTGCTGGCCTTTGCCCTGGCTTTCCCTGCAGCCTAACAGAAGCAGTGAAGTTTTCCAGGCAATTGGGAAGGACGGCATGGAGAGAGAAGGCATCTGAAGACAGCGAGAAGAAGGGGCAGGAAGCAGTGCTGGGCCGATGGCAGAGCCAGTGAGACTTCCCAGAAGCACGCGGCCCAGCCGTGTCTCTGGATCCCAGTGTGTTTACAGATGCTATTTTACACCCTGAGCTGCTACTTCTATTCCCCAAGGGGCTGCGACAAGAGGTCAGGACTGAATTGCTTGTCTGAATGAGTCTGGATGAACGCGCAGCTATTGGGCACCGAGAGAAACAGAATAAAATTAAAACGCTGCTCTATACCCTGGAGGCCAGGCCGGGGGTGCCAGGGCCCAGGGGGGTTCAGGAATGCTGCTGCAATACCTGGCCTCGGTTGCCAGCCCCGTCCCCCAGGACCCCGTGATGAGTGCATGGTTTCATCACCTCCCTCCTGAGTGGTCCCTCTGCTGGGGACTGGGGTATAGGGCTCCCAGCTCCTCGAGGCCCCAGCTCCAAACTCATTCCAGGAGGATGAGCATCTGCAGACAGTGTCAACACCCCCCATCCCTCTCATTTCTAGGGCACAGCCTGAATCAAGGCTCCAACCTTGCCTGGGCTGCCGCCTCCATGGGTATTCTCCACTCTGGCTCCAATTGAGGCTGGGGGAGGCCAGATGGACAGGGCTTAGGTGATTTCAGAGGGAGACACCTTCCTGCAGGCAGGAGGCCCTGGGTTCCACACCCAGTGCCATGAGGAAAAATGAAAAAACCAGGTGGCTCTGGACCTTTCAACGGTCTCTCAGCATTGTGGCTGTAGGTGTGAGTGAGTGACCCTAGCCTGCGGGCCGAAGGGGAAATGCACGGGACTTAACCCCAGAAAACACCCAACTTGTGCCCAACCCACTGCTGGCATCAGGGCAGATGGTTCAGAGACACGGAGGAAGGGCAGAACCTTTACTCTGTACCTTGCCCCATGCTGTGACCACCCACAGGGACAGGCAAGGCCAGCAGTATCCCTCAACCAGGTGGACATGATGCTGCAGTGAAGCCCCAGGCTTCTGAAGGCAGGGTACTGGCTGGGGTGAAAGGCAAAGCCACTCTGGAGCCAGGCAATAGCTGGTGCCACCACACCCCAAGGACTAGCCCAACCTCTTCCCTGGCGTATCCAGGCCCAGGTCCATGATTCCTATGTGTCCCTTGCGCCTGGGATGGGGGGGCAGGGAGCACGGCTCAGGGCTGGGGTGGGACACAGGGAGCACTGAGGGGCCTGTGAGCAGAAGCCTTTGCACTGTGGACGCCCTGTGGGGGTGACACAGCCCTGTTCTCCCCGACCCACTGAGAGCTCCTAAGCCTTTGGGCCAACCTCAGAGCCTGGTAGGGTACAGTGAGGGGCCAGGCAGAGTGACAGCATGGGATGCACAGGGTTAGAACTGGCACTTGGACCAGCCTTGGGCCTGGACTCTAGTGTCCTGCTGGGGCGACCTGGTGGGCACAACACTCACCCAGCTTTCTCCTTCAAGTGGCAGCGCCACTATTTCCCATACAGCTCCTCATGCCCAGGAAGTCTGTGTGCCTTGCTTTTCAGCCAGCTATACCAATGGGCTGCTGTCCACTGCAGACCACAGGCAGGGCTGGACCCCTGGCCCAACATTGGAAGCCCAGGCCCAAGGTCACACCTGCTCCAGCGACCTGCCTTATGGATCCTAGACTAGTTTTCCACCTTCTGTCCCCCAGCATTTGTCTGCTTCTCCACTCTAGCTGGTCCCCTTACCCTCAAAGCTGGCTCTCCTGGCTGGAGGCCACATGTGCCCCACCCTATCGGCCTATTCCCAGTCCTTTTCCTCTGGGGATGTGCAACACAAAAGGGGGTGGCCCCATGCCATTGGGATCCCTGCAGCCCCGCACACAAAGGGTGGCAACAAAGATGTTTCCTGGGTGGCAGGTGCTGGTGTCAGGTTCCGCAGGGTACACAAGCAGGAGAGAGCAGGTGAGGTGGGCACAGGGCAGAGCAGGCAGGGCCTGGCAAGCAGCCATGCTGGCGGCAGAGAAGCCTGTGGGGCGTCACCCCTTCCCCAAGTGGGTGGCTGGGCAGATCTGAGGAAGTAGCAGGCTTACCTGACTCAGGTACCGTAACAAGGCCTCTCTGAATTCTAATCTGCAAGGAAAGAGCATAAATCCAGTGAATATGAGCTTGCCCAACTGGCTGGTGCAGAACCTTCAGGAGCCTAGGATGACCCCAGGGCAGACCCTGCAGAAGCCCAAGACGATGCCAGGGATGCAGCCAGGGTCTTTTCCCAGTGCCCAAGCTCTCCTGACAGATTCCATCCCAATCAGGGTCACAGATAAAGAGGTTTTCAGCCAAGTATTTGGGACTCAAAGGAAGGCCTGGAAAACCGCTGAATGCCCTGGGCTGCTTGCAGGTTTCTGAACTGTGCAGAGTGTGTCAGCCCACGCTGGGATCCCTGGCTGCAGCACACAGGGAGGTGACTGTGTGGTACAGTCAGATTATGAGCTCACTCTCAGCCCAGGGAGCAGGGTCTCAGTGTCTCTATACAACATGACAGGTGTCTCCTCTCCGTACCTCTACTCCACTTTATGTCACTGCAGAGCTTCCTAGCTGAGGCACCCCCTTTTTGAGGGGCATTTTATCTCAACCCCAACTCTCTGGAATGTAGTGTCACCTTGCAGTCTGGACAGAGACTACCCATCAGTGACATGGACTGATGTCCGTATGGCTATAGCTGGAAATGGGCCTTCTGCAGCCCCTTTGCAGGGCCTGGCATGGGGCCAGTCTGGCATCCAGCTGTGGTCCAGGATGCTGGGGGCTGGAGAGGCCCAGTCTCTTGGTAGGGTCTCCTGAAGACACAAGCACCTCTGTGATGACATTTCCAATCCCCTGACATGCACTCAGCACTGTGGCCCTGAAGGGAGACTGCCCAGGGCTAGGAGTTCCAGTAACACTGGACCCCAGATGACCCGGGGCTTTCCGTGTTCCCTGACTAGTGCCGACCATGCACAATGCTGCTCCACGTGACCCAAGCTGCTTTGGATGGAGCTGGTGGCAGGCAGCAGACTGGGATCTCTGGCTGATGGGTCCCCAAGGTCCTCCTCCAGGGGAGGGGCTTCTGCTTTTTTAAAGCACCACACTGTGCACACCCTCCCAAGTGCACTGGGGTGGCTGGGACCAGGGGCTCCTTGACCTAGCTCCCTGCAGCCCCAGCCTGGCTGTGCTATGCACCCAGACCCTGATTGGTGGACACCGAGAAGGCAGATGGTGCGCTGACAATGGAGGACTTGTTTGTAATTGCTGATGAGGAAGGGCCGCTCCTCTCCCAAGTGTCCCCAGACGCAGCCTGGTGTGGTGTGCTGGGCCACAAAGAAGGGCTCAGCAACTGCCAGGCCACGGCTTCGGACAGAGATGTGAGGCAGAGGCAGCTGGTGCTCCAGTGTCGCCTGGCCTTGACATACAGGCAGCACTCCTGCAGGGTGGGGTCCCAGGCACCAGGACGGGGAGACTGTCCACTTCCCACACATCTCTAGGGCGCAGTGCAAAGCTGTAGCTACCCTGTGCACCCCTAGAGAAGCAGATAGAACAAGACCGGAGGCACGTGGCACCTGAGAACAGGGGAGTGTCTCCAAGCACAGCTCTTCCATCTTTTCATCAGCTGGGCACAGATATGCACCAGATACAGTGCAGGCTCTGTGCCATCCCCGTGAAGGAAGCAAGCAGCAGCTCTGCTTTGGGCTCTGGCAGATGGCAAGGAGTTACACTTACAGTTCAGGCAGAAATGCTTTCTACGTAAACTCAAACTCCATGACTATAAAGGAACACACAGTCTCATGGTGCTCCTGGAGATGGGGACACTTCCCATAGGATCCAGGCTGGGTGCTAATGGGAAAAACAAAGTTGAGAGACACTGGGTTCCAAGGCTGTGTGTGTCCCGAAGGTGATGTCACTCTTGACCTCAGTGTTAGGTGCTGGGAGAACAGGGGAGACTCCAAGGCTTTCACTCTGATGCTCAACCCATTGTGCATCTGGAGGACCCAGCAGTCACTTTCCAGAAAGGTGCTCTTTGGGCCTGGTGCATGATGCCTTTGATGCCCTGGATATGGAGACCCAGGGAATAACAGGCCCGGTGGAGATGGGCTGTGCCCTCGTAGGTCTGCCTGGCAAATGCTCTGAGACCTGTGAGTCTTCCTGGTGCCTTTTCTCCAGCTGTGCTCACTGGCACAACAGAGGAGCAAGGTGAGAAGCAAACTTCCTGACTTGGAGGAAAGCCTGCCGAGGATGGCCACCCAGGTTAATGCTGAGCAGGGTCAGACAGAAGAGTGTGGTCCAGAGTATTGAGGAAGGATGCTGACTTGGGCTGGCACAGGCACGGGGAGACACCCCAACCAGGGTGGCAGTTACTCCCAGTGCTCACTGTCGTAGCAGAAGGCAGGCAGGCGGAGCAGGACCAGAGCTGCCTGAGATGTTCAGAGCCTTGGAATGGCTTGGGGAGGAACCTGGTGGTGGGTGACCCTGCACATGCAGCCACACTGGTGGGGCCAGGGATGCCAGCCTAATGAACATCTCCAAAGGCCTGGGGATGGCTTCCGGGCTTCCAGTTGGGCAATAGTGGCTTCTGGTGGGCTGGCCCTGGCTCTGGGCTTGGTTTCCTCTGTTTGGTCACTGACCTTGTCCATCAGCTCTGCTTCTGCAGCACAAAACTAGGGAAGCTGGACCACCAGGAAGGAAGAGAATAGGGGACAGGTAACAGCCTGTTTGTGCGCTGATGCAACATTGAGAGTAGTGGCTGTTCATGGGGAAACATTTTCACACTTTTCTCTTTCCTTTCCCCACCTGTAATGTACTTTTAAGACACATGATTACATTTGAGCCCAGTGTGGTAGCAACACCTGTAATCCCAGCACTTGAAGGCTGAAGCAGGAGGACCAGTACAAATTTGAGACCAGCCTGAGATACACTGTGAATTTAAGGCCAGCCTGAACACAGGTTACATGAAACTTTGTCTCACATAACCAAAGTGCTGTGACTGAATGACACATTTAAAACAAGGATCTTAGTGTCAGCCTTCTCAGCAGGCTGCATGTGTGAGCGGAGAGGTGTGTAGACCCTCTCAGCTCACACAAAGCACAAGTGCCAAGCTTTTAGTTCTGTGGCCATGGCAGGTGCCCATGTCATCAGACCAAAGCCACCCCAGCGAGTGGCAGGGCTGTGCCCAACAGCCCCAAGGAGAAGACAGTCCTAATGTCTCAAGGATGGAGGACAACGTATGACACCTGCTGCAACATGGGTGAGCCTTGAGAATGTGCTAGGGGACCTTGGTCACCAAAGTCACAGGCTGCAAAATTTACTCCTACAAAATGCCCAGAACAGGTGCAGTGAAGAGACAAAAGTGGATTGGTGGTGACCCAGGATTGGGGATGGCTGGGGGAATGGGGCTGAGTGGAGCGGATGTGGTTCTTAGTTGGAAATGTCTTAGAAGGGGGCTGGTGGAGGTGGAGGTCTTGATGTACACTGGGGTGAGGTCCCATCCAGTCACGTGCTGTCAGTGCCTGCAGCAGTGCAGGCCAAGACCTCTCCTCCAGGCCGCTGCTACCACAGAGGCCAAAGGGAGCTTTCAGAGTGGGCTGAGCACATGGCCCCACAGCTGCCACAGGTGCCCGGCTTGTTAGGGCACCAGCCTGAAGCCCCTCCCTGCTACTTCGCGCTCCCTGAATGTGCCGGGAAGCTGCATCTGTGCCCTGTCCTTGGCTCCTCGCTGACCTCCTTCTCTTCTTGGACCTTCCTCAGCCCCATTTAAAATGCACTTCTGCCCCATGTGCCTGCTCAGGCCCTGCCCTTGCCACAGTAGACTTTTTCGCCTTCCCCACCTGGGAAGCTATGTCCACAGCTGTGGGGAACGACTGCTTGAAGGCCCGACTCGCGGGCTGTGCAGGGCATTCTGTGACTCCAGGTCTCAGCACCCAGCCATGGTATAGCAGAGGCAGCCCAGGGGCGGAGGCCTCCCTCTCCCTTCTGTGGAGTCCTTTGCTTCGGACTGCCATTCAACTCTGCCCATGGGTATATACTGCCTGCCTGGATGTGGCCCAGCTGGTTCGGCCAGCGTAGCTGCACTGTCTCTCCTGGGGCAATGCATTCAGGGACAGCGGCTCTGGTACCCCAAGGTCAGTAGAGCAGGACCCTCACAGATCAGCCCATCCTGCTCGGGAGTATGGATATCACAGCTGCACAAGCACAGGGTGACTCCGGTGTGGGGTACAGTTAGGCAAAATATGTCCCTTGCATTGGGATCCCATTGCCTCAGGTTCTGCTCTGGGCCTGTCCCGGTCTCTTGCATCTGTCTCCCCATTGGGAAAGCACTTGCCACTGAGCGGGACCCTTAGCCCTGGCCTCACATCCTCTCAGGGACTAAAGAGAGCTTTCCTTTCCCGTGCTCTCTGCTCCCAGGCAGAAGCGCTGCAGAGAAACAAATTCCCACCATGTGCACGGGGTAGATTCTCTCTCTTGTCCCCCTCCCTTCCTTTTACCTTTCCTTCTTGCAGCAAAACTGAGGGGCACATTGCCCATCTTTAAGAATTTGTTTTCCTCTCTTGCCTTTTGTGGGAATTTGAAGAGAAAATGAACCACCCAGCTTTTCTCTTTGCTGCGCTACTCACGGGTCTGGTCCTGGCTCTCCCACCTCAGCTCTCCAGAAAAGCATCCGGTAAAATAACTTCCTTCTCTCCACCCGCAGGCTTAGGTGCCAAGGAAAAGCTTCTGTGCGGCCTCTGCTCTGGTTGCTAAACAGAAATGTGAGCAAAACCATTGCGTCTTCCAGGAACCCTGCAGCTGCAGCTGCACTCAGACAACCTTCTGGGCCAGGCGACACTGGGCCATCATGTGGCCCACAAGGATTGTGACCTGGGCATCAGGAGCTCCAGCTTCCCCTCAGCTCTCAAGGTTATTTCAAATGAGCTTTAATTAAGACTCATTTCCAAAAACCACCTCCGAGGAAAATTCCTGGTACCTGCAGCCATCTCCTGGCAACTGTCCTGGTGTCCCCAGAGCTGTAATTAGCAGCCGAGTAGGAGGAAGATGCCACCTGCCCTCCAGCCCTGCACGGCTGGGGTCGGGACTGTGGACACAGCCATGAGAGGGCCACCGCACCTTCCGGCACACCAGAAGCAGGTGTGCTGGATATGGCCCCTTCTTGCTCTGGGACTGCATGGCCCAACCTCAGCCCAGTCCCGGCCACAGCTGGCGGGGCTCTAGCAGGCAGCTCTTGCTCTCTGCTTGCTCTCTCCACACTTCCTATCCTCCTCCTCCTCCTCCTCCTCCTACTACTACTACTTCATCAGCACTACTTTTAATTTTTTTCTCATACAGGGTCTTGCTAAGTAGCCAAGTTCTCCAGGCTAGGCCTGAACTCCCAATCTTCCTGCCTCAGCCTTTCGGAGTGCTGGGATCAGGCAAGTTGCTCCTTGCTCTTATTCTTGTCTGTAGGCTCCCAGGCATCTTGGTTCTTAGCTGCTGAGTGGCACATTCAAATCCCCTGGCAGGATGACTGGTGGATGCTTTTGTACACATGAGTACATTGCTACCTCTCCCAGAGTCACAAGGCAGGTGGCACAGCCCCTCTGAGGGGACCCTCTACCCCTAGTTAACCCAAGCCACCCCAAGCTAACCCATCACCATAGTGATGGCTACAGCTATAGAATCTGGGTTGATTAACAAGTGGCCCAATGGCTCCTAGTAGCAGCTCTTCTCCAATAAGGCTCCCTTCTCTTCAGGCCTACATGAGGCCCCTGAAGTCCTCTGTGTCACCTCAAGTCCTTAGGCCCATCTTGCACAGCGGCAGCTACTGGTGTGAGGGAGCCAACTCAGAGACAAGCAGCAGCATTGTGGGCCCACAGATCACATGGAAAAAGTGTCCATCTCACTTTTTTGTCCCAGACCAGACCCAGAGGACACCAAGAGTCTTTTAAAAGGATGGAGGGATGAATAAGCAGAAGGCAGACCGCTATGGGCAGTGAGGCCAACAAGGGACCTTCCTCCTAGCGCTGCCTGCAGAAGCTTCTCACATTGTCTCAGTTCCTCATGACCAGGCTGCCCGATCAGGTCTGGCCATGGTGCTCACCACAGGCCCACTTTCTCCAACAGATGGGAGGGGAGGGGACAGTGGATGCACAACTACAGGTGTCTGCTTTCTGTCTTGCACGAGGCCCCGCAGGCCATGTCTGGAGACACCTGTACCACTCACAGAACAGGTGCTTTTTTCCATGCCCTCTGGCTGCAAGTGTCATCCTCTGCAGAATTTGCTGGGGGTAAAGACTCAGGTCCACTGAGCACAGTAAGCTGGCCTTAGGATGGAGCCACATAGCCTGCTGCACACCGCATACTGAGGACACTGCAGTGCAGGAATTCCAGAGCACCGTGCAGCGAGGCAACAGGGTGAGGGTGTAAAAACTTTCTATTAATGCTTTGGCATGAAGCAACAGCAATACTCTTTTTAAGAGTAAAGCAAAAGCAGCTAACACTGAGCTTGATACGTGGATGGAAGATGTGGGCTGGGGCCAACAGGAAGGAGAGCGTCCTGTGGGATGTGAGCTGTCCATGGAGCTTTGGGGACACTGGCCAGCAACAGCCATGTGGGCTGCAGGCACAAGGGGCTGCTTGTGAGATCTGAAATTGCTGGTGATGTCTGAGAACCTGTATTTAAGGAAAAGGTCTGAATTTTCTGAATGGAGTCCCCTGGTGCAAGCCTGGCCTTTACTAAGAATGAGAGGCTGGCAGCCTGCGCTCTGACCATGGGATTGGACTGAGGAGAGTGAGGTGTCCAGGATCCTTGGCTGTTGCTTCATGGTGAGGTCTTCAGCCCAGTCAGTTCATGTGAAGGGTGATGCCTGAGTTTCTTGGGGTCCCTTCCAGCTCTATTTCAAGTAAGTAGGGATACTATGAGCAGTATACCAAGCTCCTCTGCCTCGGTCAGGGAGGTAACCCTGCAGGAGGGGCCTCAGGTGGGACCCTTTCGCATGGGACCCTAACAGGAACTGGTTTTGGAGAGCAGGGTGAGGGTTTACCTTATCTGCTTTTGGGGTTGAGTTGATTATTCACCGACCAGGGACAGAGCCAACAGGCTGGGCCTGTCAGGACCAGGGTACGAGGACATGCTGCCACATCCCAGGTGACACTGTGGAGGACATGGCAGGTTGCGTGGTGTTGGTGTGACCACTCCAGGCTGAGGCTGCTGAGGACCAGCCTGTGGCCCCTGCCCACAGTCACTTTGGGACCAGTGTGTGACACGGGAGCTTCTGTCTGCAGCTTTTCTTCTTGCTCTCTTCTTCCTCTTTCTTCTTCCTCTTTTCTTTTCTTTTTGTTTTTTCTTTCTTTTTTTTTTTTTTTTTTGGTGATACTGGGGATCAGACCCAGGACTTTCATACTGGCCTACAGCTCCAGTCCTTTTTTAAATTTTGAGATAGGGTCTTACTAAGTCACTAAGTTGTCCTGGCTGAGTTTGAACTTGTGATCCTCCTGCCTTAGCCACTTAGGATACTGAGTGCCATCATGCCCGGGTTTATCTGCAGCTTTTGTCAGATTTTATCGGCTACCAAAACTTCCCCAGTGACAACAGGCAGATTCTTTGGTAAAGTTCTACAAATACTAGGATATTCTGCTGTAGGAAAGAACCACAGCAGACTTGTATATGAGGCAGATGAAGGCAATCCTCCTTGAGACAGCCAGCGCAGGAGGGCAGAGATGGAAGTCTGCACTTGGGGACAATGAAAGAGTGGTGGCAGCATCTCCAGCTGACTCAGACTAATCTGCTTTAAACCTTGAACATGTCCTGTATTGACATGGCAGTACTGGATGGGGCAGGTGAGGCTCTGAATCCTGTGGCCCCTGCGACTGAGCCTACACAAGGGGAGGCTTTGCCCATTAGGCCTTGGAAACCATCAGCATTGGTATTTATGGCGCCTCAACAGCAAACAAAGGCTGTGCTCCCCCTGCTGGCCCTGGACAGCAGAACTGAGGTCGGGAGGTGACCTGGACACTGCTGGCATTTGTGCAGAGGCAGGGCCACCAGCGCACTGAGCAGAGTCTCATTTAATGCTGTCTTAGACATTCCTTGGGGCAAATGTCCATTGCCACCAACTTTTGATCACAGTACCGGAAACTCCTGAATTTAGGGGCTCAAAGAGATATCCTTATGCTCTGTGACCTCCACATTGCCAGCTGCAATTATAACTGAGATTGGGAATTCATTTTCAATAGACACAGTGGGATCCCCCCAGGTTTCGAGGTCTAGATGCAATCCTTAAAGCAGTTCTAGAAAAAAATCACAAGTGCAAGCAAAAGTTTCTTTTTCTTTGTTCTTTAAGAGCAGTTTCCAAAAGGTAAAGATGTATGCTGTTTGTGTCCTTTTCGATCCTGTGGAGCATTACACTGGATTCTCCAAGTCATTAGCATGCAAAAGAATGACCTCATGGTGAACAGATGCACTTGGCTAAGAGCTGCCCGGATGACATCAGTGCCTCCCTGCCAGCCACACAGGGCGCCTGGAGTTAACCCTTTGAAGGCTGCTTGGCTGCTTCCTTCCTCAGCACCACTTGCACCCCACCTCTGCTGCCCATGGTGTGTGGGTTAAATGCACATGGATGTGGGTGCACAGAATGTGCAGAGGTTAATGGCAAGCAGCACTGGAACGCTGGCTACCTTTCAAATTATGTATTCCCAGTCAGTAACAGATGGAATCAATAAAGGCGGCAAAGCACAGGGCTAGGTAAAGAAGCAGCTCAGCTCCTACTGTAAGCTGGGAGTCCTCAACATGTTAACAGATGGAGCAGATGCAAGGCGGCTATTTTTTTTTTTTTTTTAGTGCCGGGGATCGAACTTACGACCTGGAGATTGCTAAACAGGCACTTATGCGGCTGAGCTAAACCCTCAGCCCAAGGCAGCTGTTTTAAGACAATTTTTTCTAATTTGGAAAATGGGTGCTTTTCTGAAAACCTCCTGAGAAAAGGTGGGCCCTGTGTGCTAACGTTATCCCTCTATCCACCGTCAATCATGCGGAGGAAAGTGCAACTCAATCCCCTGCCCAGGCGCCCTGGGTGCAGGAACAGAGCAGTGGATATGGGGCACTAGCCAGCAATCTCCTCGTTGAGCACAAGTCAGGCCTGCAAAGGCTGCCGGGGCTTTCTGCCAAGGAGAGCTGCCCACTGACTTGTGTTACATGCAGTGTGGCATACACACAGTGTACAGGTGAGCCCTCTTCTTCTAGGACAAGGCCCTTGTCACGAGGATGCATAGAGAACATCAAGTCTCTTGCTTTTCAGGCCATGTACACATACATCTATGCCTGTGAGCAGGAGCCGAGACCTGGCTTGGTGACACTGAGGCCCAGGGCCCAAGTGCATGGTGGGAGCGTGAGTGGCTCAGGGTCACTTTTCCCAGTTGGCTCGTAGCTTGGGATAGCAGGTTGAACCTCGGCATTTTAGTTTATGCTGTTGGTTCATCAAGGGTTTGACTGTACTTGTCCCTGGAAATTCAAAGGCACAAGGAATACACGACATAGCACTCTCATCTGTAAGGGTAGTGGTAGAAGTAAAAGAGCACATACCCAGGAGAGGATATAGCCGTAGGGGCCCGTGTACCACACCGGATGCCCTGCCCCTGCCTAGCCATCACATTTCAGCTCCAACCGAGTTCCTGTCTACTTCCTCCTAACCATTAAGAGCAGCTGTGCTAAGTGCTAAGGGAACACCATACTCAGCTTTGGGGTCCCACTCTAGGATAGGTGCGACAGGTACATAAAAACCGTACCACTTGACACTGAAGCCTAAGCATTCCACTGCTAATGTGAAAGGAGAAAGAACTACCATTGGCTTTGATATTTCAAGTTTGGTTTCATGTTCCTTTTATTAAAGTTCCAATGCTCCACCCTTATGACACTGTCAGAATCTTCATTCTGCTAAGTAATTTAGAAAATATAAACTTCTTGAAGAAGTCTATCAACAGTCTTGTCCAACTGGAGATCACAGGACCTCAATTTTCTCCAGCAGTCTCACACACGAACTTCTAAAATTACATTATTTATAGGCATATATATATATAATAGAACCCCTCAGTATTTATTTCTAAAACATCTTAACAACCTTAAGATTATAAAAATTAAAGAATGTAAGCATCTAAGTATCATTTAATTTTTCCTTTAATTTTAAGAAATAAAATGACTTCTTCAGAATTAAAGAAAAAAAAAGGACCTGTACCAAAAAATCAAGTCCTAGTATCCTCGATGGGAAAAATCTGAATGAGATCTTTAAAAATCAGCGCACTACAGAGCCTTCCTGCTCTTTCAGTGAGAAATCTGAAACCATTTTAAATCTCTGGCCAGACTGGGTATGAAATCTTCATTTCCCTTGACACAGATTTTTTTTTTTTTGTCTTAGATAGGATATTGGCAGAGTGTATAAAAGAATTCAATTCACAGCTGTTCTACTTTTTTAAATGTAAGAAATGTTAATCAAAGCTTGAAGTCATAAGCTTTCCTCATGTTGTTTAGTATTCCAGTTCAGCAGAGATCAATAGAGACCATCCTGTGTTCCCGACGCCTCCCCAGGAAGCGCGCGATTATGTAAATCGCCCCCCACCTCTGCCAGGCTCTTATCTCCGGAGCCTTCTGCCTGCTGCTCCCTCCCGGCCTGCACAGGCTTCTCCTCTTATCTCCACACAAAGCTCGGAGGCCAGGACCACAGCCAGGGATGTTAAACAATGATGCATGGCTGATTTTATTTGGAAGTGATTTATTTCAGTGAATTTAATTTTTTCACTTTGTGTGTAAGATATTTGTTAACAAGTCAGGACGGGAGATGGAAGGCAGTGTTTGGAGACAATCAGCTCAGGTTAGAAATCTATCAGCACTCTCAGTCCTACAGAAACCAAGAAGACGAACGAGGATTTCAACACGTGTTGACTAAATATCCCATTTAACTCTCTGAAAGGCAATTAATCTGTAACTAGGTACAGAAATTTTCAAGAAATAATTCTGTCCTTTGAAAAAACAGTGATGTCATCAGTTTAAGTGGCAGTGTACTTTTTTCCAATTGGAAATAAAGAATAAGTGCCTAAAACCAAGAAAACCTATGGAAATGTTTGCAATTTTCTGCTGGCCTAATAAATGACAATGAATGTGAGCCATGGTCAAAACGGGCTCCACGCCAGGTGCGGCTAGGCTGGTGGCGTGCCCACATGACACCGGCCACTCCACAGAGGCGCGTGGCACAGTAATGACTGGCCCGGGGACACTGTCCCCGTGTCTCCTGTGTTAATCCCTGACCCCCAGTATCCTGGTTGCCTAATCCCCATTTAGCATTAGTAGCAACAGCTTCGACTGTGAGGAACTCCTTTTTGATAAGTAAGCACTGATTCTGGCGTTGCTTTTAAATAACATATTCCCAGCTCAGCAAGAAGTCCAGGCTCCTGAATGAACCAGGGCACACGACTGAGAAAAAGTTCATTAACCTTGCTAGATTTGGGGGTTAACAGGATAGCTGAAGAAAGGAAAGGAGCGAACAGCATGGATACAAAACAAATTAAAATGAATGTCATCGTTCCTTTTGATATTCATTAGTTGATTCAGAGGGAGAATGCTCTTCTTAAATTTGCAAGCATTTATCTGTGAAAAACAGGTGTACATCTGCTACTCGAATGCGTCTCAAGCATGAGAGGAGAATAATGCAGACACTCACCCGTTCCGCTGAGGGAGTAGCTGGGCGAGGGAGAGAAGACTTGGGCTGCAAAATCCTCGAATGTCATGACTTCGCGATGGTTCTGAATTATTGCTTCGAGATACAGCGCTCGCTCTTCATAGCTGCAGCCATCAGTTAAGGAGACAGACACATGTGCAGCCCGGCATGCTCAGCAGTGGCCGGCCGCCCAACTTTATTTAAAATAGTTATTTGACTTTCGCGTCTGCATGCAAAACACAGCCTCCCACAGGTTCTTTAGCATTTTGTCGGAAAACTAAATATCTTAATGAATCATAAGATTCTGCTGCTGAGACCTAAGTTTCTTAGACTTAGGTCTCAGAAATCATTCAACACTAGCATTAGTAAAAAATATGCAAGCCAATAGTTACAGAATGACACCAAAGCATCATTAATGTTGATTTAATGAAACAAAAACAAGAGGTGTGGATGGCAGTGGCATCTCCTTTCACCAGCAAGTGTGCAACAGTCTGCTCTTCACCTCCTGTTTGTGGGAGAAAACACTTCTCTGAGTACTGACCTCATGGGCTGATCTTTCAAGCAAGACCTGGTGACACAAGGGTGAACACATCTTTTAAAACATAAGGAAATGAAAGTTACCTCGAAGAGACCAGGACAGAGACGCACTCTGAAGGGGTGTAAGAGACTCTGTTAGAAGATAAGAACTCATATGTAGGAGAATCTAAGAAGAGTGCAAAATGCAACTAGAAAAAAAAAAAAAAAGAGTATTGGCTCCTAATTAAAACTGCAGCCTGGAACACACAGCATTCAAATGTGTAATCAAAAACCAGTCACCAATGAAACTTACAAGCGTAACACACCGAAGCAACTTTCCAGCTGTCTTAATAGGACCCCTGCGTGTGGCAGCCTTTCACAGGGCAGAAAGCAAATCTTCCCCTTTTGTGTGCAGCTTCTGCTCCTGGGAAGGTGACTCATGCACTCCCTACACCAGGGTAACGTCAGAACAGCACTCAGCCCTCCTGAGTTAATGCCCGGGAGGTCACCAGCGTAATGTCTCACTCTGCCCTTCCCGGTTACACATGCCACAGTTAAAAGACACGTTGCAGTCAGTCTGAAAACTGGCAGATTCTCCAGGAACACAGGGAACCTCTTGAAAAACATAAGTTGGTGACCTGTCCTTTCAGCAGAGCCCGTGTTCGTCAAACATTTGTCTGTTTTCTTTTAGCAAAGCGGGCACCCTGAAGGCTCCTCCTCCTCCTCCCCTACACATTCACAGGACAACTTCACACCACAGCAACCACAGCAACTTAGGAGTCACGTGTCACATATGGCTGCCTATATTTAAATCCAATTAATTACAATTTAACAATTCGGTCCCTCTGCCCCACTCACTGTATTTTAAGTGCTCAGCACTGGGCCAGGCCAGGGACTGCAGCACTGGTGGCTCAGAAAGTGGGCGGGCCCAACATCACAGAGGGTGACATGACCCCAGGACAGGAATCCTCCTCAATCTTACTGGATGCAACTTCAAAACAGAACAAAACAAAACAAACACCAAGCGATGCACACAGGCTTGAGGAGCTGTGAGCAGCCCATGATTTACGCACTTTCCTGCAGACAAGGCCTGGGCAGCCTGCGCGCAGCCGGCTCCTGGTGATTGGCCCTAATGAACAGCCTGCCGACTTCCTCAGTGTGCAGCGCCGGCCCTGCCCAGTCCTAGGGGGACCCACTAATGCCATTCGCATCTCATTATGAACATGCTTATTCTGCACAGCATTTGGCTGTCACTGAGGCCTGGCCCTCCTAGCACGGCCCCAGCAAGCCGCTGGTCGGGAACAGCAGGATGTCAGGCCTGAGTGGCTGTCTGGCGAACAGGCACTCTGACAGTAAGCTGGCACGTGCTGGCCCAGCAGGGGCTGAGCCAGGCGTGACAAATGACTCAAAGAGCTGAGCTAAACTTACGGCTGACAACCACCTGAGCCTTCGGGACTGCTCGGGACTGCTGCGGCCCACTGTCAACACCTGATTCATGGCTCCCCTCTCAGCCACGGCTGGCCGTGGACCTGCCTGGGTGGAGCTGGTGCGACATTCAAAGCCCTCGCCTGCCTGGCCTTGTGAGCCCCCACTGAACCTAACAAGGGGTGCTGTGGCATGAGCCCACGTCCCAGATGCTGTTGTCCCTCTGGCACAACTCTGTCCCTGTTAGCCCCGAAGGCAGGGTGCCTGGGAGGAAGTCTGCATTAACGGTCGCAGGAGGCAATGGCTGAGTCCTCAGAGTCTCTGACTCTTGCAGCCACAGAACAAGGAGGAAGTTGCAGCTCACAGACAGATTCCCCATCTTGCCATTCATGCCCTAGCCCGGTGCATGCTGCCCATGCTGCACTGTGTGCTAGTGGTGCTACGCTGGGTACTGTCATCTAGACAAACAGCCATTAAGGATTAGGGGAGACCAGGAGCTTGTCAGATGCACCCAGCTGGGGCATGTAATCACCACGACAAAGAGTAGCAAACAGCACCCTTCTGCCAGTGTGCAGAGGCAGAAAAGGAAATGACCTGGTGCCAAACGTGACTTTCCCGAGCAGCCTCACAAATGCAGCCTCAAGATTGGGATGGAATCTATCAGAACTAGCAGCAGGGCCATTTGGAGCAGTACTGTCTGAGGATTCCTCCTTCACACCTGAGGGCTTTGGTGCTGGCTGCACTCCTTAAGGTGGGGTGTGATAATGCAGGCATCAGGACCTGTGAAGTACACCTCACACAGAAGACACCTTCAGATGTGATCCGGACACTAAGCTGATGCCCACAGTCCTTGGACAGAGACCTCTGCCTAAGTGGGTGATGAAGCAGGCCCTGAGCACAGATCTGGGGGACCCCCCTTTTCAACGCCTTTGGGCTTCTGCCCGAAGAGCCCAGGAGCCAAAGTGCAACTTTACCTGGCTCTGAATCACCACCTCACTAAGAAATGTAGATTACTTTTTAAAGGAGTTTTCCTTTTCATTACTGAGTTCAGAGAGCATTCACATTATCAAATAGAAATCCATGGTGGCAGTTTCGTGCTTCACCAGGGGCCTGGCCCAGATGAGCTTAATCAGGGCTGCTGCACCACACTGTGACCCCGGGGCATGTCCCCGTGCTGGTTCTTTCCACCAAAAGCTTCAGCATCTGCTCTACTGAGTTGGCTGGGTATGAGGGCCTATGACGCAAACCTGTTCCCCAGATTTTACTCTGCTTATTATCTTTTAGAAATGATAGCAACAGCACAACAGGAAGGAGTTGCATTTCAGTAGGAGAAAGGCCTGGGTTTGAATTCTGACCCTTTTTCTACCAGAGCACAGGCAAAACACTCTGATGCTCAGGGGAAACATTGGCCAACAAACCTCCTTTCAAGAAGGACCTCATACACTAGCTGGCCTGTGGTTCCCACCTCACCGATTGGGAAAGTGTTCAGAGCCCAAGGGAGTCCCTCAGGTCCTAGCTAGACCCTGGAAGAACTGAGACGAGAGCTCAGATCTCCTGACCTTTCCTACTTCTGCCAGAGACCCTAAAGCACTGGGGTTAGGGTTAGGTCTCACGCAGGGCCGGAGCTACCCTCCTAAGAATGGCAAACTGATAGACTTAAATCTATGGGGCTGCAATTTGGTTAAGCTGTACTTCAGCCATAGACCAGGCCGATTTCTTAAAGTACAGAGAAGCCTGGAGTTACCCCACCTGCTCTCTCTCTAGCTATTTGGGCTATGCATTGGTGGCCAGCTGTTTGGCATCTTGACCTTTCACTTTGGAGTGACCTGAGAACTCTATATTGGAGTATGTTTTGTCAAAGAACCAAAAAGAAGAGTTTGGAAGAGGCAATATCACACAGCAGTGCGTTCAACCCTTCAGACTTGTTGCCCGGGCTACCCCTAAGTTTTTCAGTGTTGGATAAGATTCGAGATGGCAAAGTGGCCTCAGAGGAGGTGGCACCTGGTGGTGGGGCATGTACTGAACCCATCCATGCACAGGCTGCTTGTTTTCTTTCCTAACCCTGCAGCTCAGTGAACTGACACCAGGGAGCCCACAAGGGCCGACCTCACAACGGCCATTCTCTCATCCATGGTAGCCTTCTGTGGAGGAAAAGGAGGGGCCAGAACCATTGGGAGGCACCATCCACACTGCACAGCCATCTGTGAACCCAGAATACTGGGTGTGGAAAAGCTGGGGGCCTCCAGATGCACCTTATCTTAGACCTCCTCTTCTAGTCACCTGTGGCTGCTGTAAGTGACCACAAATGGGGTGCTTTGGAGGTTTTTCTCTCCCAGGCTGGGAAGCCAGGGCTCCTGAGCAGCAGGGCAGCAGTGGAAATCCTGTTCTTGCTTCTTCCTTTCCACAGAACTGCTCTGAACGACTGACGGGATGCAGAGGGTTACATTTGCTCAAATTCTGTGCGCACATGTGGACTGTGCACATCCTTTGTACATAGGACCCTCAAGGGCACAGATGGCTTGATGAAAAGTATGCAACTGCTCCACTTTCAAATGGAGAAGCCACCTACTCACAGTGCTCCTCTGTGCACAAGCTGAGCAGGGGCCAATAAGCACGAGGCCCAGCCAATCCCAGGGCCACAAAACCCAAACCCACATGAAATAATCAAGAAGAAATGCACACCAAGTGCTCACCTGGGCCAGTGGTGGGCATGTAAATAGGCCAGGACAGAGGCTGCAACTCCCAGTGGATAGAACAATGTTTAAAAACCCATTTGCAGCTGGGCGTGGTGGCACATGCCTGTCACCCCAGAACTACGGGAGGTTGAGGCAAGAGAATCACAAATTCAAACCTAGTCTAGACAATTTAGACTTTGCAAGATCCTGTCTCAAACTAAAAACTAAAGTACATGGGCTAGGTGGGTAGCTCTGGGTTCAATCCCCAGTGCCACAAAACAAAAACCAAAACAGAGAAGTTCACAGGGAAAGGCAAAGTATTGTTACCTTGGTGCCAGGACAGAAAGGTGCACCAGAGTGGGCTTGTGTTTGGTGAAGCAGCAAGAAGCAGACACCCTACTTGGGGTGAGGACCAACAGTTGGCTCACTTAGGAACAACATGAGCTGGAAGGAGCTGGCATGGAGGGAGGGATGTTGTGGAATGTGGGTAGGAAGAGAGCGTCGGGGGC